ACTTCTCCAAAGTCGAGTTTCCACACTTCAAGCTGGTGTTGGATACAACACCGCCTCGAAGGAGCCCCAACATGGTTTTCTACCAAGGGAGCTCGTCATGTACCAAGCAGGCCAGCCTGGCCGCAATGATGACTGATGAAGTTGAGAAGTTGTGTGCTCAGTGCAAGAAGAGTCTCATGCTTGACGAAGAGAAATCGAGATGTCCATCTGGGGGGCGGGTGGTTTCCTAGAAGCCACATCAACCCAAAGCCACACATGTTTGTGATAAATATGATAATATGGCTAAGTATGGACAAGAAGGCATGCCACCAATCACAAACAGTGGAAATGGAGGAAAGTCCAACAAGGAAAGACGTGGAGAAGGCAGAAAGAGTTGTCACAGTCTCGTAAATATGGCTAAGTCTGGACAAGGGAGCATTTCACCCACCATGAAGAATGGAGTAGGTAGCATCTCCAAGAAGACACAACAAGTCAAACCCCCACATGGATTTTGTAAGCGTGAGATTATGGACAAGGGTGGATTGGGGAGAAAGTCCATGTCAATGAATAGTAAGTACTCGTCACCAACCACAAAGAGTGGACATGTGAGCATGTATAAGAAGTCACCATACACACCAGCCAAACATGGTTGCACAAAGAATCAATGGTGGTTGAGTGCTAAGTGTAGGGTCCAACAAGGTTTATATGTTGAAAGACGAAGTCACGGAAGCTACACAAGTGGTTGTCGACTTTTCAAGCCTAGACCTAGTCCCCAAATTCGTGAGGAGATTAAGCATGTATCAAGTGGGAGGAAAGCAAGGCAGAGGAACAATCATGACAGCTTTGACATGCCAAGTAAGGTGGCCCAAGCAAAGAAGCATGAGACCTCATGCAGGGCCACAAAGACTAGACAGGCTGACCCTGTACCACCCATTAGTAAGATAGAAAATTCGAATTTAATGTATGAAGATTCATCTCCCATAGAGGAAAAGAATCATGTGGTCTATGGATGGCAAGTCTGGTTTGATCAATGGACTTGGCAATTGGTGTACACCTTTGGTACATTGAATGTTGCCAAATGATATGGAGAGAAGTGACATTTGTCACTTCTTGCCATATAAAATAAACAAATTTATATAATATACTTATAATATATTATTTATATAAATAAAATTGTAGCCAAACATGGCTAAAAAAAGATAGAGAGAAAATATCAAAGTGAACTTCTTGATTCGGAGTTGTTAGACTTCGATATGAAGATCTTCCCACCAAGTCATTGTGATGGCTTGACATGCCGAATCATACATCAGGCCATGCCATGCCATGTTGTCTTGTCCCAAGTAGCCACGACCTGGGGGGCACGATGGTTTGAAACATGGTAGTAAAGGAGTGGTGGCCACAATGTCTCTAACAAGATAAAAAGGAACATTATTTTTCTAAGGCAAAAACTAGACGGCTTGAGTTGACGTGAGGGAGTTGCTTTCCTTGTGACGAGGTGAGACGAGTCGCTCCGTGTTAAAATTTGTGCGAAAAAATTCTAACTTACTTGCTCAACCATGTGGCCAAGTACTAGGACAAGTCTTTGATGTCAAGTTCGATCCAGCCATGTTGGCTTGATCACTTGAAAACCAAAATTTGGATAAGGCATGGAACAAGCCTTGACGTCGAGTTCCATCCAGTCATGTTGGCTTGATCACGTGAAAGTCAAAATTTGACTAGGGCATGGAACAAGTTTTGACGACGAGTTCCATCTGGGCGTGTTGGCTTGACGTGATAGCCATGACTTGACGTAGTAGCCAAAATTTAGCTAAGGCATGGAGCAAGTTTTGACGTCTAGTTCCATCTCGCCATGTTTGCTTGACGTGATAGCCAAAATTTGGTTAAGGCATGGGCTAAATATTGACGACGAGTTCCATTTGGACGTGTTGGCTTGGTCATTGAAAGCTAAAATTTTGGCTAAGTAAAATTGGTGTGTTGATAAGCCAACACGTTACTTGGCTATCATGGTAGTCTACAACTACTTAGTCCATAATTCGTATGCACTAAGTAGTTGGGGGGCATTTGTTTACACCCAAAAAAATAATCTTGTACCACACTGTCTTTATAAGGTCAAATCATTAATGACAATTAATGTTATTTGAAATGGGCCTCATGATACTAGTTTTTAAGCCCAAATCACTAAGTCTCCAAGAAGGAGCTAGTCTCGTCGCGAGTTGGGTAGCCCGACGTGGTCGGGAGATCTAGACCGCGTTAGCGTCAAATTTAGAGCTTGACGTGGTCGCGAGATCTAGACCGCATTGTCATCAAGTTTAGAGCCCGACGTGGTCGTGAGATCTAGACCGCGTTGGCGTCAAGTCTGGAGCCCGACGTGGTCACAAGATCTAGACCATGTTGGCGTAAAGTCTAGAGCCCGATGTGGTCTCAATATCTAGACCACGTTGGCGTCAAATTTAGATCCCGATGTGGTCGCGAGATCTATACTACATCATGAGTCTAGACCATGTCCAAGATCTGAACTAACAAGTTGGAAGTAAGAAAGCAAGCCATGTGGGAGAGGCAAGTAACAAGACGATAGTTCCAAGATAAAGAGTAGGAGTTTAACAGATCAACTGCCGATTATCCCACGTGCCTGGAAAACAGAAACAAAACACAGCCTCCTTGCCCGCCGCTTCTTGATCCAAACCCCCAGAAGAGCAGCATCTCCACCGACAAAGGAAGACAACGCTTTAACTACTCTTTCGAACTTCTCATTTCAGATCTGCAATCAAAATTGACCGACATCATCCACCACCTCTTCCCATTCCATCGAAACTCTCCTCGGCAGCTATTCCTCCAAATCCGCTTCTTTCTCCAAAACCCGGAGAATCTCCCTCAATTTGAAATCGTTCGACGTGTCTAAACCTGCACCACCACTTGATTCTTTGATGGTGGTTCTAATCCCGAAACCTGACAATAGTAGTAGGAAGGATGTCAATTTAATTCAAGTCGAACTGCGTCCACCACCAGCCAATTTGCAAAAGTGTAGCGGTGGTGGCGACTAGCGAAGGATCAATGCGAGAAAGGAACATAATTAAAACAATAATTGAAATCTTATTTACTTCATTCCATTTTTTTTATGTAAATAAGATTTCAATACGGCCACGACATTTTGGGTCTATTGTCTCCTGGCGTCTTGAGGTGCACTCAACCCTCAAGACCAACCTCTCCACATACATATGCCAACTGGTTTCGCCCTGCCTTGGGCTCATCAGGAAGGCGGCAATAGCTCCTGACCAGTTGTGCCTTCGCTTGCAATGATCCCCGTCATAGTCACATCCTGACTCGGCCAGAACGATGCACAGGCGGACAACGCCTATCGCTAGAGTCGCCCCCTTCACCCCTTGTGTGACAAGCTAACCAAAAGGCATGCGTTCTTCAAACGGTCAATACGGACACGGTCATGACATTCCAGATCGTGACAGCCCTGCCGATCATTATCATTCTTCTTGTAAAAGAAAGCAGACATAGTTGCAATCTTTGCCACACCCACAATTCCCAGCTGGCGATTTAATTCTCCTTCTTCCCGTTGCAACTAGCGGCGCCACAAGAAATCCTTCCCCATCTCGATTTTTTCAAGGAAAAAATAGTAGCTCTAGCTGTCAGCAGCACAACACCTCCTCAATTGCCATTGTCGGGAAAAACTTTAATGATTTGATAATGGATTCCTCGGGACCGGCGATGGCTGCCTTTGAATCTATGGCCACCGCAACTCCTTTGTTTGCATTGACTTCTGCAGTTGCTTCGCAATTGCCATTCAGTCCAATTTCCGCCATGTCTTTGTTGTCGGGAAAGACAGTTTTGGAGAGAAGAAACTAAGAGGGAAACAAAGAGTACGGAGAAGGAAGGAGAGATGTGTTATAAAGGGTATTGCCATAATGCCCTTGATGAAAGTGCTAGTAGGGTGCTAACATTATAGGGTGATAGCATCCTATCCGCTCCCATAGATTATATATGTTAACCGGAAATTAAGCTTGTTTCTATTTTAGATAGGCGGGATTTCCGTTTATAATGAGTCTAATTAAAGTAGTTTCTTAGACTTTTATAGTTTTTTGTCGTTTATTGTAAACTTGTGGTACATTAGGTTAAACGATTACACCATCCAATTTTAATTTATCTGGAAAAAAAGGAGTAGTATCAAGTGACTAGGGGATCTTCTAGTCATGTGACTCGGTGAATTTCAGTCTTTCAACCTCGTTAAATCTAATGGTTCCAATTAATCTACTTTAATGAAGGATAATGGAGTAATTGCATTATTTTTTTCATTTTTAATTATCAAGTGATTGAAATAACCCTCATCGGGTCCCTGATGCCTTTCTTGCCTCTGCTGGGGGATTTTCCGGTGTCCCGTCCCGTTCCCCAATTTCCTTTGCGCCAAGGATTTTTGGGTGTCCCGTCCATTTCTCTCCATTTCCTTTGAGAGAGAGAGAGAGAGAGAGAGAGAGAGAGAGTTTTCAGGCGACGGGACATCGGATGAGGGTTTTCCGGCAACGACTCCGCATTTATGATTTTTATCGGTCTATTTTGTAATATTTGTAAGTCATGTTCGTAATGTTTATCAATTCGGTTTATAACACAAATTCCTATAAAAAATATCAATTCGGTTTATATAGTTTATCATTTTTGTCTATTACGTTTGTAATGTTTATGTGACTAATTAGTATATATTGTAGTTTGTAATTTTTGTTTGTCTAGCTTTATGTTATGATTTGTATACTTTGTATTTATTGGTTTGTCATACAAGTTAATCGATTTGTATTGTACGTAGTGAAATTATGTACGGTTAGTATGCTTTATAATGTTTGTCGGTATCTTTTGTAATGTTTGTAAGTTTTGTCATTTTTGCAATAATCGTCGATTTCTTTTGTAATGTTTGTAAGATTTTTCATTTTTGTCTACCATGTTTGTATGCTTAAAAAACACACGATACCTTTGGTTCGGAACTCCTCTATAGAGACGGAGCCTCCAGAGTCAACCTGGTTATTTTTCCATTTTGTATGTTTGTCGGTCTATTTTGTATATTTTGTATTGTTTGTTAATCTGGTTTGTACAGTTTTTTCATCTGGCTTGTGTAAACAATGTAAAATAATAAGAGGAGAACTGAGACTGTTGGAAAGTGATAAGAGAGAGCAAAAAATAAAATAAATAAAACCAATTTATCACAATATCTACCTCTATCACTAAATAAAATGTCATTCCCACTTTTTAGCCGTAGTGTGTCTAGATCCGAAGGCTATGAGAGGTTTAGTCAAGTGACTAAGGACCTCCCTTAGTCACATGATCCGTACTCCAAAAAATATTGTGGGCCATTTACTCAAACTTGTACATATTCCAATGGGTTGACTGTTAAGCGTGTCACCGTGTTAGCCTCTCTCATTACATGTCTCCATCTTTCATTTTTTAGTTAGTTGATCTTCCACTTAACGCACCTACAAATCCCACATATTTTGTCGCATCGACTAGGCTTCGTTCAGTTTTTGTGATAGGGGCATGCAATCGGTTACATTAGTTGTAATGTTGCTGTTCGGGCCAACCAATTGGATCATTTGCGTGGTGTTTGTGCGACTAGTCCACATCCCTTTGTGGTTATTGGTGATTTTAATACTACCCTCCATGAGGGTGAGAAGGATGGGGGACGAGATTGGAATGCGGCTCAAGCCATTAGCCTTCGGGATTTTGTTCATGACTTGGGGCTCCATGACCCTGGCTTCCAAGGGGATCAATTCACGTGGACCAATAAGCGTATGGGGGAGGCATGCATTCGCGAACGTCTGGATAGGGCTCTTTGCTCTCAATCATGGATAGATACTTATCCAGAGACTTTGGTCAAACATTTCACAGACCAGGGGTCGGACCATCGTGCCCTCCTTCTTGCCGATAAACCTTATAATCGGAGTAGTCGGCCTCTATTTCGGTTTGATGCTCGTTGGGCGGATAACCCAGAGGTGAGAGCTATGGTCCAATATGTCTGGCAGGAGGAGATGCAAGGAACCCCTATGTTTAGACTGTGGGAGCGATTAAAGAAACTCCGGCACCTGCTTTACGATTGGAGAAGGGCGGGCACAACTAATTCTCTGCGTAATATCAAGACTCTCCAGACTCAGATTGATGGGATAAAGTCGATCCATCCGGTGGACTGGGATGCGATCAGAAGACTGGAGACGGAGCTCTCCCGTCAATGGGAAGCATAGGAGGTTTTTTGGCAGCAGAAATCAAGGGTTAAGTGGCTAAAAAAGGGAGATCAGAATTTTGCCTACTTCCATACGGTCACAAGGGCGAGGCGTAAGAGGAACTTTGTTTCTGGGCTTCGTAATACGGAGGGAGAATGGTTTACTGAGGAGTCCGGAAAAGCTTCTATTGCCACCAACTTTTACCAGACCCTGTTTACTTCGGAAAATCAGGTTCCTAATATGGCTGAAAGGGTGGCGAGTCTACCGATTGCCCGAAATGTTACTCCGCAAATGAATGCGCATTTGACTGCGGAGGTCTTGCCTGTGGAGGTTCGGAGTACAGTTTTTTCCATGGGGTCAAAGCAAGCCCCGGGATCGGATAGCTTTACGGGAAAGTTTTTTAAAGCTTTCTGGGATATTGTGGGCACTTCAGTGGTTGAAGCAGTAACTTCCTTTTTTGCCTCGAGCCGAATGTTGTGGAGTTTCAATCATACTTGGCTCACGTTGATCCCTAAAGTGGATTCGGTGGAAACAATGAGACAATTGCGGCCGATTAGCCTCTGTCAATTTGTTTACAAGGTGATTACCAAAATCATGGCTACACGGCTCGCTAGTTTTCTCCCGGAGATTGTATCGGAGGGCCAAAATGGGTTTATCAAAGACCGACAGATTATTGATAACATTCTTATTGGGCATGAACTAATGCATTATCTGAAAATAAAAAAGCAAGGGAAGAAGGGGTACATGGCTCTGAAGGTTGACATGGAAAAGGCCTATGATAGAGTCGAATGACCCTTCTTACTTGCAGTTTTAGATAAGATGGGTTTTAGTTCAATCTGGCAAGGATGGATACTTGAATGTCTTAGATCCGCCTCCTTTTCGGTTTTGATGAATGGTACGCCTTCGGGATATTTTTGTCAAGAACCAGTTGGTCCCAATAACTCGAGTTGTTGGAAGAGGTTCAATCGTGGATCATATACTGTTTACTAACACCCCCCTTCAAACTCAAGCCATTCAGATAGGCTTGGAGTTTGGACAGGCACAGGTCCGGACACCGTGTGCTTAACAGAAACAGATGGGGTCACCGGGAATCGAACAGAAGACCTCACGGTCACAGAAGGCTCTGATACCATGTCATGAACCAGTTGATCCAAATAACTCGAGTTGTTTGGAGAAGGTTTTGCTGGATCTTATACCACACTCTAACACGCCCCCTCAAACGAAAGCCAACCCATGGGCTTGAAGTTTGCACAGGCCCACCATACCATGTGCTTGAAAGACAACGGTTAATATTGGGAGTCGTGGAGATTCGAACACATGACCTTTTGGTTCGAGGCTCTGATACCATGTCAAGAACCAGTTGGTCCCAATAACTCGAGTTGTTGGAAGAGGTTCAATCGTGGATCATATACTGTTTACTAACAATTTTACCGCCTCTAGAGGCCTTCGTCAGGGAGATCCGCTCTCCCCTCTCTTATTTGTACTATGCACGGAGGGGTTTGCTGCTCTTCTCCGAAAGGCGATCACGGAGAAGAAATTAGAAGGGGTGAAAGTAGCTCCTCGTGCTCCAAGAATCTCGCATCTGTTCTTTGCAGATGATTCTTATTTATTCTTGCGAGGGTCGCTGCTGGAGTGCGAGAATTTAATTGAGGTGTTGAATGAATATGAGGAACTGAGTGGTCAATGTGTTAATTTGGATAAATCGGCGGTCTGTTTTAGCAAGAATATCTCCCTGCCTGATCAGGAGTTCTTGGCCTCAATTCTTGGGGTTGGGGCGGTGGGGGTCCACGATAAATATCTAGGCCTTCCAACGCTGGTTGCCAGATCCAAAACAGCTACTTTCAGATACTTGGAGGATAAACTCCTAGAACGGCTTCAGGGGTGGAAGCAAAGAACGTTGTCGTGGGCGGCTAAGGAAACTTTAATTAAATCCATAGCGTTGGCGCTTCCACTTCATGTTATGTCTTGTTTCCGGCTTCCCCTGCCCTTTGTCGTCTTTTGGATAAGTATGTGGCGCGTTTTTTGTGGGGAGCGGAGGCTGAGAGTCCTAAGATTAGGTGGGTATCATGGCGGAACATGTGCATGAGTAAGCATGATGGGGGGATGGGATTTCGCCAGTTCGAGCACTTCAATCAAGCTCTTTTGGCTAAGATAGGCTGGCGTATCCTCAATGAACCTCAATCGCTTATTGCCCAGGTTTATAAAGGCAAGTATTTCCCCCAAGGGTCTTTTCTGACCGCGACGGCTCGCTCACGACCCTCTTGGGGGTGGTAAAGTATCCTTTATGGGCGTCAGTTGTTGGAAAGTGGGTTGCGATGGAAGATTGGCAATGGTCAATCGGCCTCCCTTCTCCAGTCTAACTGGATTCCTCGGTATCAGTTAGACCCCTCTTCCTATAATCCCCGGGTCTTGCCTGAGGGGGGTGATCCCTTGGTGGCGGAAGTTATTAGTGAGGGGGGAGGTGGTCTGATGAAATGCTCAATCAATGGTTTGATCCACCCACCTGTAAGGCTATTAAAACTATTCCCCTCCCGCGCATGGATGTACCTGATAAGCTTATTTGGCATTTTGCGGCGGATGGGGTCTTCTCGGTTAAGACGGCTTATCATTTAGCAGTTGATTTGGACAGGAGGAGGGGGGGTGGCGTTCCTCGGTAAGCTGGATGGATAAGTCGAGCTGGATTAAAGTTTGGGAGGCTAAGATCCCTCCGAAATTGAAAGTATTTGTTTGGCAGATTTTTAATCGGGCCCTGCCGACTATGGAGGCGCTTATTGAGAAGAAGGTCCCGGTGCTACCTCGGTGTCCAGTTTGTTGGGAAGGCCCGGAGACAATGGAGCATTTGTTCCTTTATTGTCCGGTGGCGCGGGCCCTCTGGGATTATTCGGGGCTGGAATACTTGGGCGAGGGTTTGCCTCGACAGACTTTCCCTTTGTTTCTCAAACGTCTGTTGGGCTTGATCCATCATCCTGAGATGGTTATGGCTGTTGTTGCCATTCTTTGGCGGATCTGGAGATCTCGGAATTGGGTGGTCTTTGAAGGCAAGCAATTTGGGATTTTGGCGCTCATGCGACAGTTCAACCAGCAGGTTGAGGAATGGATGGGCCTTCCAGCGGATCAGGCGCCTAGGGTTCAACGCCCGATAATACGAACAACTTCACATTTGGATGGTGCCCATTGGGTTTGCATGTGGGACGGGGCTACTAAGAGTGGGTCTCATTCGGCTGGTGGGATGGTTCTTTTTGACCCAGCTCGGGCTCTGTTGCTGGCTAGAGGGGTCCAGTTCGCGCACTTGGATGATCCTGCGGGGGTTGAACTGCTTGTGCTGAGGGAAGCTATTAGTTGGTGTATGGAGCAAGGTTTGTCGGAGGTCTGCTTTGAGGGCGATGCGAAGGTGATAATCGACAAAATTAATCAGGCCAACACAAGCGATAGCCGGTTGGGTGCTGTTCTTGAAGAGATTGTTCATTACTTTCGTGTTCCGCCTGGCTTTAGAGTGCGTTTTGTAGGACGGGAGAACAATAGGGTAGCTCATTTGGTAGCTAGGAAAGCCTTCTCTTTGTACCCGACCATGAGTCGTTTTTTTGATTTCCAGACCTGGCTGGGTTCCAGGGTGTAACTATCTTCTGATTTGATCAAGATATGATATCTTTAGAAAAAAAAAAACTAAAATATGTTAATGTAGGTTATGCAAAAGCTTAATTTTCGTTCCAGCCATGCATTTCGGAAGTGTGTGAACAAAGAGGCAACGCCTTTGAGAGATGAGATCATTCAAGCGCTTATTTAGAAAACTATTAATGAACTTTACCTAAAAAAACTCAAAAATTTAAAACAATAGAGAAAAAAGAGAATTAAGAGAATGAGAGAGACAGAGAGGTGTTCACACATTCAATTCTTTATTACTCATGATCACACCTCTCTCTCTTTCACTCATTCCTTCAATACCATATTGTCTATTTCAATTGCTAATCAGCTTTATTGAAGTAAAAGAAAGCATTTGATTATTACATAACTAAAACCTTTTTTATTTTTTTCCTCTACCCTCTATAGATTGATGGTTTGTTTTTCATTCTAAACTCTCTCTCGTGGTTTACTTCTACTATGCAATTTAACATATGTAAAGAATTAGAAAATCATCAATTATAATGGCGAATTGGAAAAAGATGATACATCCCGTAAAAAAAATATGGAAGGGTGTTACTGTACGACTAAAGTTTCGCAAAAGAGGTAAATTGAAAACTTGCTTTTGTTTTCTGTTATAACCAATCTACTTGAGAATCTTCTTACATTTTGCATGATTATGGATTAATTTACTATATTTTTATGAACATTGATCACTTACATATAAAAAATTGAATAAGTACATGAAGAACCTAGATTTAACATATTATGAGTTTGTCATAGTATTTATTTACCGAGTTTTCATTTGTTTATACTTTGGACGAGTTGATGTGCATAAAAGATACTGTGATAGTACATCAAGTAACTCACTTAAATTTCATATGTAATAAGCATTAAAAGAGAAACTGTTAGGGTGTGTTTTATGTTTTTACCTTGGAAACTTTTGTTTATAGAAGTAGTCAATTACTTTTCATAAAAAAAAACAATTTGTTTATATTATACCTAGAAAGGGTTACGATTTCCGCATGTTCTTCCTTGAACTCCTTTTCGATAGTGAACTATTATGATTTTCTTATTCTGCTGAATTACTAATCATTGTAGTACAATTTTTACATTGATTAATTAAGTTATGGTGATAATAAATCGAGGGGAAGGAAGATGCTATTTTTATAACTTTATTTTTTTACATACAAAACTTAACTTTTTTGGATATGTTTGTTGTTGTATAATTTATATGTTTTGCATATGTACTAATGTATGCATTATGGTTATATAATGTTGAAAACTTCATCTAAATATTAACTAAATCATATGATATTGAGATAATTATATGCGTAATAAGTAATCAATTTGACATGCTTTTTCTTCCTCTTTTCAAATTTTGGTAACATGTTTGAAATAACGCAGGGATTAGTAAATTGAAACAAGATGTGAGAGCTTCCAAGTACAATGATGTTCACGTTATGTGGGATATGCTAAAAGAAAATCAAGTAGAAGTTTTGAAGACGGGCAAAGCTGGTCATATTTGGAAACAATGTGGCTAATCCCCCCCCCCCCCCCCCCCCCCCCCCCCCCCCCACCCATGGGTAAAACTATATTGTTGTTAAAATATGACCAATTAGTCTTTCTCATGTGCAATAGTTCGAGAAAATAGTTCGAGAAATGGAGTGGTTCCCGATGCAAGGATTTGCTCTTTTACATTAAAAATGTATTTTATATGAACCCACATCGATGGTTATTGGTTGGATAATTTCTGTATATTTTAGCTCAGTGCTTCAATTTCTTATTGAGGAAAACTTTCATGAGTTGCAAAGCCGGAGATAATAACAATGAAATTGGGAGGTGACTATTGAACGAGTACGAGAGGATGCACCGTTGTATTTGGATGAATTTTTTCTTTTGTTTAATATATTAGTGACTAATATCCTTATAAACAAAACTAGTGACTAATAACAAGACCTTTTGATGCTAGGTGAGGGTCATCTCCTAATTATATGAACCTATTGGCTCCAATGCACTTGCAATCCTTTTCATAGGTCTCATCATATGCTTTGGGGGCTCTCTAGGTACTTCTTCTTGTATGGATAAACATATCCTTTTAGCATGCTCAATTGGCTTTTGCAAAGGTCTCTCAATGTTTTATAATTTGGATTATGTACACTTCCTGGCCTTCTCTAGCCTTGTCTTTTTTTAATCGGATGAAACTAATATGCCTTCAATTTAAATGCATACCTTTGATGGCCTAGTATGTTTTCTAGCTCTTTAGATTATCCCCTCTCGATGTATAAGAACTCTTAGGTATGTTTGATTGGATTAAAGGTATGCCAAAAATTATTTCCTAAGGAAAATCAAACAATAATGATTAGCTTGTTGGTTTACAAAGGCATAAACATGATTTAATTATGAAATAATTTCCTTCTGTGATTCCATATATGACATACTAGTTTGTGTTCAGGCCGTTAGTTGGTTGATTTTTTTTGCTTATATTAGTCAATTTTGAGTAATGCATAAATAATTTTGAACAGTAAGAATCATTTTGTATAAGGATGAATGAAATCCAAGTTTGTGGATATCCGCTTAATCAGATAAGGTCATATACACTAATACAAGTATGAATGTGGGTTGGCTAATACCCTATTTACATGCTCAATATACTTGGTCCCAATTTCAATTTGATTTGATTTCATTCATACTGATCCAATCAAAAGCTAGATCAAAATCTATTAAACTTTTACATTATATACACCTTTTTTCTTATATTAAATAAAATATTTGAAAATCACTCCAAAACGTTTGATGTGGTATCACTATAAACAAAGGGAATTAAACAATGAAAATGGGTTGTAGCCTATAAAGTCTGCGTGTGAGGCACCGATCGAGTGATGAATGAGAGACAATTAGACAACCTTTAGAAATTCCTCTCCAGACTGAATAATGACAAATTTTATATAACCGTCCTCTAAGCAGTTGTCTGTATGAGACCCTAAGCCTAAGGAGGTCATCATCCGACCAAATAAGAGCAAATCATGCATATAATTGTTTCCAATCGGAATGTCACGTTTGAGAGCGATTTGCATGAGACACTACCACTCATTAAGAAGCATTTAAAAGGTTAGGTATCCTTACGTAGTGACCCATTCACACGACCGAGGTATACGTAGTGGAAATAATACAAAATGCATGCGCATGACCCTTGCCCAGCTAGAAACACTAAAAAGAATTTGTATGTTGCTACGATTCTTCAACATAAGTGACAAAGAGAAATGTACAGATGCAAGAGATCGAACACGGGATCCAAAAGTACAAAAAAAGAACAAGTGTTGTTGAGAGAGTGAGAAAAAGAACCATAAACATTATTCATTCACTCTACCCACATCGAGAATCCAACTGGGTACCAGATGCCTATCTACCCTCACTTTAGTGTAGGAATGATAGCAAAGCGAGAACAGAGCGGATAAAATTGAATCCGTGCTCTATCCCGGCTCATCGAACACTGATCCGCCCTGCCCCATGCTCCAGGACGCTTAACTAAATTATGGTCCATCCATTGCCCCGCACGGATAAGGTAATACCCGCTCTGGTCCATCCACTAGTATTGACATATCTTCATTCATCAATTTAGAGCATATGGTGTCAAATCCCAGTAGCCACTAGGCAGTAGCCATACCGAGTTCCTCTCCAATGGCGTTGGAAGAAGAAGAAAAAAAAGCTCCTCTAAGAGAGCAATTCACCTTTTGTTCACGTTTATATTTTCAATAAGGAAATAGAAGGAGTAATTGGAAGATTGATAATTGGGGAATTGGCCATTGGGAGAGGAAGAATAGTTTCAATAAAGGCATAAGGGTGGAGATTGTGGATTGGGGAATTGGGAATTGGCCATTGCGAGATGGGATGAGATACGGTGACAACCCCCAAGGGGGTTGTCAGATTCACAACCCACTCACTAACCGTTGGATACACTCTCTCTCCTGTCTCTTTCTTCTTTTTTTAAGTTGATGGTTAGGATTAAAAGAAGGGTATTTTTGGAAAGGAAAAATGTTAACACACCCAATCATTCTCCCTCCCATATAAATAAAATAAAAACCCTAACTCCTCCCTCTCCCTCTCCCCCTCATCTCTCTCTTTCCCTCCTCCCTCTCTCCAGACAGCACTGCCGTCGGCCACCACCACCTGCCGCCGGCCTCCTCCCTCTCTTTCCCTCCTCCCTCTCTCCAGACAGCACTGCCGCCGCCCTCCACCACCTGCCGCCGGCCTCCTCCCTCTCTCCACCCACCATCAGCATCTCTCCTCCCACCATCAGCATCTCTCCACCCCCTGCCGCCGGCCTCCACCACCTGTAGCAGCTTCCCATAAGCACCACCACGAAGACAATCAAGGGGAAGCAGTTGTCCCCCCCTCCCCCTGCGCCCCGCCGCGCCGCTGTCCTCCCCTGCCGCCACCATTTTTATGTCGCCGCCACCGCGAGGTCAAGACTCATCCCTATTTTTTTCCAGATCTGATAGTCTCTACCGGTACCAATACCACTGGTAGCGCTATTGGTACGCTACCACCACTCACCGGTACCAATACCAGTGGCTCCCTTATCATCTGGTACCACTATCATCTGTTTTTTTTTTGTGTTATTTGCTACTGGTATCGCTACCAATGCTAGTGGTAGCGCTACCAGTGCTAGTAGCGTTGTGTTATTCTCTACTGGTAGCGTTGTACTGGTAGCGTACCACTAGTACTGGTACATTTTTTTACTGGTACCGCTAGTACTGGTACATTTTTTAACTTACTGGTAGCGTACCACTAGCACTGGTATATTAATTACCAGTAGACTAATAGATTGGTACACTTATTAACGCATTGGTACATTTTTTTCAGGTTGCCGGAGGGAGTCTGCCGGAGAGAATTCGCCGGAGAAAAAGTTTGTCGGTCGATGCGGAGTGGCTGCTGGAGAAAGGAAGAGAGAGAGATAGATAGAGATATTAATGTATAGGATTTAAATTTTAGAAAAAAAATTGTATTTAATATGGGTTTTTAATTCCCAATATAATTAATACAAAAAGGTAATTAATATATTTTTTTTAATATCCAAAATACCCTTGGTTGTGAATCTGACAACCCCCAAGGGGGTTGTCACCGTATCCCGTCCCTTGCGAGATAGATTTCTCGGATGCAGGGTTTATTTATGAGAATTGATTAGGGAAGGGATGGCATGCAGGGTGGCTATCTAGGGAATTGATTGGGGATGGCATGCATGCTGGGTCTCTGCGAAATGAATAGCTAGCTGGGTGACTGCTTTAGTGCATTACTAATGGGGGCCCCATTGCAGATAAGATCAGGGAATATCCACCGGGCGGATCTGGTTTGCCTTCCCTACTTTAGTACATTACTCATGGGCTTGTCTTCTTCTTCTTCTCTTTCATACACTTTCTCTCCCCCTCTCTCTATGAATTAAGGCATTGTGTTGGTTTAGATGTAGAGTGCAAGTAGATGTTCGCTAGAGATTTTCCAGTATGGAACCACTGAGCTAGGTCGACTATTGGCCTTGAGGAAGTCATGCCACTGACGAGAAGAATGACGCCCAAAAGAAATCTTGATCATGTATCGAGGGGTAGGTCGGAAGAGAGTCGGCTCTATACCTACCATAGGAAGACTTGAAAGTTTACAATTTCTTTCTTTCAGTCCGTCAGACCAGGCGTCCCCAAAACAATACATGGATTGTAGTATATTGATTTGTCGTCAACTATATACCTATAATTATCTTGACACATGATCCTTGGGTTCTATTTGCGTGGTTCTGAGGTTTTCCCAATGCCTAGAGTATGAGTCACCACACTGTGTTTGTCAAGTAATCAGATGAATTCGAATTCAAATCGGTACACTCTGGCCTTGTGAGAATTTAAACTCAAGTCTCTACTCAGGTCATAGGAGCTCTGATTGCATGATCATTGAGTTAAAGCTCAGCCTAGACATTCCCATGAAGCAAATGATGAATCAATCCAATTTTTCATGACATGATCCCGTAACAAGAATCGAAAGATAGTAATTTTCGTTACTACAGTTAATGTCGTCACGAATGCCGTCAACACCAAGTGATGTGGCTTCCACCTGAACGACATGTGATCGCCAACTAAATTCAGTTTGCCCACGTCTTTGGACAATAATAATCTGAGGTGGAATTAGCTGGAAAAAGGAAAATTAAAAATAAAATAATTAACCATTTTTATTTTCTCACATTCATGTCTTCCCATCCCTCTCTCTATCTCTCGTACTTCCCTATTGCCGGCCCAATAGCATCAGAGTGTCGGAGGAGGATTTCAAGGCTTCCCGTTTTCTGGCATTCTGCATCACTACTTTCTTCCTCATATCGACTCCGTAACGGAGGCAGAAGTTCAAGATGCGGGATTGGAAGGACGCAATCGCTTTCTTTTCCATTTTCTCTTACCTCGTAGTTGCTGCAACAGTAGCTTCCAGATCTGCTTTTTCTTCCACCGCCGCCGCTTCACCATATCTCCATTCCACATATCCAGAGCACAACGAAGTTTGGAGCAGATGATGGCGGGGCGAAGAGTCGGGCCATTGCCGTGGAATGACGGCGGTGGCGGCGCCACCAAATTCAAAGTCGGAATCGCGATTGCGGAGGGTGATTGAGAAATAGATCAGTCTCTGTCGGTGGTGGTCCCCACCGCAGAACCCTACCCGTGACGTTGCTTCATCCTCTGCCTGCCGAGTTAGGGATTTCAAAATTTGGGTTTCCTGTTTCCAGAGTTATTTCTGACTGAAATTGGGGTTAGAGATTTCGAAATTAGTAGGGATATGAGGAAGAAGATGAAGATGGATGGGTGGGTGGGTGAAAAGGGTAAAGTAGGTTTTTGTTTTTTTTTAATTAATGAAATTAAAAATATATTCCACGCATATTGCCACGTTGACAAATCACCACGTCATTGGCAATCGTGTGTCCAGTCAACAATCATGACACTGTCATTAAACTTTTGGACGGAATGACTATATGAGTGTATTTTTCAAAATTTGGTTATATTTGTCACAACGTGAATAGTTATGGCTATGAAACTGTATTTTGCCATCTAATTAATTAAATACATAATGAAATCTATGAAACAAACATTGTTATTTTCCAAATCCATAATGATCCCAAAACCTCATATATCAATTTCTCTCGTTTAGCGAGAGCAACCTGGCGGCGGAAACCCTAGGGGGTTTCCGGTTTTCTGTGAGGTTTTCCGCAAAGAGTAAGGTGATCGATTCCTAGTAGTACAAGGAGGACTGAGGGATAAAGGTTATGGTGCATGTAGGGTTTGCGATAGAGTCTTATTTATATATATGATCATAGTCAGAGCTTTACAACATGTTTTTCCAATCACGATTGTTGAGTTAGTCTAGCAATTGTCAGTAGAGGCGCTCGTGGTGGTGGAAGCGAGAGTGATGATGGCAGGAACGGAAAGGGCTGTCGATGATACAACCACAAGTAAGGAACGACAGAAAAACCAGGAAGATATGTTGGAGTTAGAGAAACAGCTGGACCAGATCACATTGGCTGAGGACGACGAGGAACCTTTGGAGGTGGAGGACTCAGATGTTGATGTAATACGGATGGAAGCGGTTCGTCGTCTGGGATTGATTGGCTTCCTGGTATCTGAGAAAGAGCCAAATATTAAGTCAATGAAAATAGCTTTGATGAAAGCTTGGAAGCTAAGAAAGAGCTTCCAGATCACCGAGCTGGGAGATAAGTTATTTTCTTTCCAGTTCCTTGATATGGATGACAGAAACAAAGTGTGTTATGGGGGCCCGTGGCACTATAAGAATAATCTCATAGTTTTCAAGGCTAGCGCGTTAATCCAAAAGCCTAAACCTAAAGATCTACACATGATTGAACTCTGGATAAGGATTATAGGCTTTCCTGCGGAATTGAGAACTCAGAAGATGGCAGAGAAGATTGCCACAAGGTTTGAAGGGCTTGACTGGTTTGATAATGGGGCTGGAACTATGTGGGATGGCTACATGAGGCTTAGGGTAAATCTATCTATAAACAAGGCACTGAAGAAGAAGCTGAAATTGAACATTCAAGGGCAACTGGTGGAATTCCCAGTAAAGTATGAAAAACTCCTCATATTTTGCTATACATGTGGAAGAATCGGGTACCCTAAACTACAGCGTAAAATGGAACCAAAACCGGAGAGTGATCTGTTCATTATGAGCTCAGGGTGGTTGCCCCAGGACCAAGAAATTGGTTGTCAATCACTGCAAAGAAAAAGGATGCAGAGGTCTGGGCTGCTTTACATACAAAACTAGAAATGGAGAGCACGAGATCCAACTCAGATCATGATATGGCGAAGTAGATGGAAGAGACTAGGGAGATTCATGAGCGGAATCAAAGTGAGAAGAAAGTACTTGACGGGGTTCAGAATATGGGGGAAAGACAGCAAGAAAAAGAGATCGCGCAACCTCCCAAAACCTCTGCTGAAATCCCTCAACAACATGCGATACCACAGAAACTGGTGATCAATACAGAGAAGGCAATGGGCAAACAGAATGGCGCACTTGACAAGTTTATAAAAGGCCGTAATGAAGGCCCTTTAATGGGGCGTCCCATACCTAGAGTGTGGAGGAGACAGGATAAGGACATTAATAGACATGCCACAATGACTCAAATCACACCTCAAAAGAGGCAGGCAACAACTCCACAGGAGGGAGACACAGAGGCATATCAATAGGATAATCTTGCTAAGCGGGCAAAAATGCTAAAATTCGAGGAAATAGAGGGGTGGGAGAGCAAGTTTTAAACAATCATTAAGGATGGCAAAGTGGCGGACCCTGTTAAGCAAGGTCGCCCAGCCCAATGAGTATTATGATCTACAACTGCCGGGGTTTGGGGAAAGCCCGGGCAGTGAAGAAGCTGGAACGTTTATTGCTCCAGAAAAACCCCAGAGTGTTCTTCTTAATGGAGACCAAGAAGCAAGAAAAGGAGTGAGAAGAAATTGTTCAACGTCTTGGTTGGGAGAATGGGCATGGTGTTGGATCAACCCGTAGAGCAGGAGGGCTGCTAGTTTTGTAGAGGAATGACATTTCGATTGAAATTATGTCAGATTCTCTAAACCATATTGACATGAAGGTGACAGAAAAAGATTTTGTTTGGAGACTGACCGAGGTGTATGGATGGCCAGAAGAATCTAATAAACACATAACCTGGACTCTACTTCATGACCTCCACAGCCAAACCTCGGTCCCTTGGTTGGTTTGTGGAGATTTCAACCAGATACAGGCCTATGAGGAGAAGCATGGTCTTAACGGACCAAATGTGCAGTTCATGGAAAAGTTCAATGAAGCTATTGAAGACTGTGACTTGGAGGATCTGGGTTACTATGGTAACACGTTCACATGGGATAACAATCATACTGACGAGACTTTCTTGGAAGAATGCCTGGACAGAATGTTAGCTAATGAGGCGTGGATGAGACATTTCCCGAATGCGAGGGTGTATAATCTTAGACGATGTGGGTATGATCACTACCCTAGGATGCTCAAGAGGTCTCTACTGCAGGATAGGGTGAGCTGGGGAAGGAGTTTTAGGTTCGAAAAATATTGGGCCAAAGATCCTGATTGCGATGTGGTTATTAAATAAAGCTGGCAAGAAGATACTAGTGAGTCAGTCCTAACTAGGATTGCAAAGTGTGAGGAAAACTTAAAGGAATGGAGCAAAGTGAAGTTTGGTAGCCTGGCTGCCAGAAGGAAAAAGGCAGAGAAAGCTTTGGCTGCATTGGACAAGAGGAAGAAAGATGGGGCTGTGATAGCTCAGAGACGGGAGCTCGAAAGGGAACTGAATGAGATCATGGACCTGAAGGAGATAGCGTGGAAGCAAAGATCACGCACAAACTGGTTGAAGGAAGGGGATATAAATACCAACTATTTCCACAGAAAGGCCTTAGACAGACAAAACGGAAACACCATATATTGCTTGCTGGATGAGGATGGGGTGGAAAGGAAGGGACAAGAGCAAGTTACCTCATGTGTTCAAGACTATTACCAGGCGCTTTTCAAGGTAGCTGATCCGACTGTGTCTTCCTATGTTCTTGACTCGATCACCTGCAAAATCACAACTAGTATGAATGAGGAGCTGTTGCAGCCTATTACAAGGGAAGAAATCTGGCATGCTCTAAAATTCATGGGACCGACAAAATCCCCAGGGGCTGATGGCATGCCAGCTTTGTTCTTTCAGAGACACTGGCTTATCATTGGGGATGATATCACAAGAGAGCTACAGGGGTTCCTGGAAATTAGAACTTTTTCCCCAGACCTTGAACCACACACTGTTGGTTCTTATCCCTAAGACCAAGCAACCAAAAACCCCTGCTGAATATCGACCTATAAGCCTATGCAAGGTTTTATACAAAATCTTCTCGAAAGTGCTTGCTAACAGGCTTAAAAAGGTGCTACATGTGGCGATGGTGGAAAATCAGACTGCGTTCGTGCCGGGAAGATTCATCACCGATAATGTTATCATGACGTTCGAATGTTTCTGCGCAATGAAAGCGAGGAAGAAAGGTAGAAAAGGTTTTCTGGCAGCCAAACTAGACATTGCCAAGGCTTATGA